ATATATATATATAAAGAAAATCCAAAGGTTGTCAACCTCCATTTTGTAACCACTTGGGACGTCCTGACGTCACATGGAGCTGGTTCTGGTACATATGCATGCGCAGAAAGCACCAAATCAAAGAGGAAACTACAAAACAGGAGGAAACTGACCCCTGTCAGAATGCAAATATTTGGGTTCATTTTGTTTTTTACTGAATAAGTCTGAGTTTGACCTGAGCTTCACTGTGTGCAAAATTTGCAAAATGAAGATGAAGCACTTTAGAAACACGACAAATGGGCTCACTTTGAGTTTTGAATGAAAAAAATCGATTTTGAATCGAATTGTGACCCTAAAAGTCTGAATCGAATCAAATCGTGAGATAGTAAAAGATTCCCACCCCTAATAGAAAGCCTACTTATGATGGAGATGACAAACAATTTTGATGTATTTGTACATATTTACACTATGATTTGTTAAGTAAAGTACACAGGTCAAAAGACGAGTTAGGTTCAAACTATTAACTTTTGGGTCGACAAGAAGTTTTGAAAAAGACGTGTGTGAATGTTGCGCTCTATCGTTGTGGTGATCCACTGCCCTGGTTGGAGAATAAAAGAGATTTTTGCTCACCCAGTAACCAAACAAGCCCGTACGAGTGTACTTTGCCTGGATTTCTCTGATGAAGGGAACGTGCTCCAGTTTGGAGAAGAAGAGTAGGAGCAGACCCTGCATTCTCACTGAAGACACCTGAAACACAAAGTACACAAAACTCAAGCAACCATGTACACACACTCATTTAAAACACGTTTATGTCCTGGTTTAATGTCTGACAGTGACTGGAGTTTGTGTGTGTGGACATGTTTTTGCTACATCATGAGGACCATTTTCCAGACTAATAGCTTTGTTGGGACCAAATGCTCCTTATGGGGTGCAAAGCCTGGTCCCCATAGGTGCCAATTTTGCCAATTTTGGATGGGATAGGTTTGGGACTAAGGTATGAACTGAGTTTCGGTTTGCTTTAGGGTTAGGTATGTACTGGGGTGTTTAGGTCAAGTTTAGGCTGTAGTAATGATTGGAAAATGAATGGAAGTCAATGCAAAGTCCCCATGAGGATGAAAACCAACGTGTGTGTCAGTACCTTTATATAATTCAATGGTGCTAAAGTGGACATAAACTTTTGACTCCATGGATCGTCGTACATCATGTCTGTCATAAATCTTACAGGTCCTGAGTAGACTTCCTGCAGACTGGACACAGTTGTGATTGTCAATCTGCTATACAACCAGAAATACAAACATTAATGATGACAAAAACAAACATATGTACCCAATGACATAAAGGTCGGCGCTTTTTGGTGAGTTCAGGTGGAGAAGTGAGGTCACATCCTCTGGAGGATCTGCAGTGGCCACATTCCACGTCACTATGTGAAGTCTGTGAAACGAAAGCCAAACTGGATGAGTACTGACATGCAACAAGCAATATTAAATCCATCCAATCATCTCAAGAGAAAATTTATACTCAAGTAAAACTAATCTATGAAACACACAAACAAAAACAACTCTTGAATTTGGTGGAATTACCGATGGTTAAATCTCTTGTGGCAGAGGTTTAACAGACCTAAGGCAGAGTTCACACTTTGAAGCTGAGAAAATTAAGTTTGAACCTCTGGTTAATTTGTTTGAATTGAGACAAAAAGAGTTGATCACCAAAAGTGGTGGGGGTGGTGACACAAAATCTGACTGTACCGTTCTCTGAGAGCCAAACAAGCCGTCTAATTATCTCTGAGCTCACCAATGTGTGCATCGTTTCTTTAAGAACAAAAACATGCAAAGGGGTTTCATTCTCATGTCCATTTCAGTCAGAACTGAGGGTTTATACTCTTATTTGCCTGTAAGAGCGTATCGCAGCTAAAGCATTCCTGCCTGAATTTACATTATCCAGATTATCTTGCATTACCATTTACTTTCGTCAGTAATTTTAAGGAGAAACGTTTGTAGCCGTTTGAATTTAGAGGGTTTTGTAAGCTGTTTTGATAGGCTGTGTTAAAATGTTTTCATTTGAAACCACAAAAAAAGTAATTAGAAAAAGACATAGGAAACTAGAAGCACTCAGAGAGTGCAAACCACTGCCAAGGCCATTTTCCTCCATTCTGTAAGAGTTAATGCGCAAAAGCAGAGATGGAAACACATTTACCAAATAAGTTCTGACGTAGTGAACATTTAAGCAGCAGTATGCAAGGATTTCTTCTCAGTGGAGTCCAATGTGAAAAAAAAAAGTTAGACTGGTCACCCAACATTATTCATGGTCAAACTGGTGTGGGATTAAGCTCCTAAGTTTTCATCAGTCACATTTCACCATGTAAAACGTCTGTTTTATCTCCTTGTATGAGTTTGTAATGGTTTGACTCTCTTTATAAAGTGCTTCCTGGCTCCCCCCGTCTCCAAACTTTGAGGCCCGGCAGCTCTCTGTTTACAAGCCTAGTAGAGACAAACTGTTTTGATTGGTTGTTTAGGAAATGTGGTGTGTTTGAAGAAATTGGAAAAATAGGTTTCATGGTGCAGTCACGCACTTCCTGGTCACAAAACGTTCTGTAAATGCGCATATTATGGCAGAAATTATTCATCATTAAATGTGGTTTTAACATTACTTTATAAAGTTTGACGTCCGTGCTGTCCAATCCAGCACACTGTTTTTTACAGAAGCCCTGTAAAAGCATCACAGCTTTGCCGATCTCAGAGTGTTAAAAGAAAAACATTCCTGTATCCGCATCGTGATCCGGAACATCACCAAAATTTAAAGGTGTGTTCCTTGGCCCAGTACCCACAAGTGGTACAAATGTCATGACAATCCGTCCACAAGTTTTTGAGTAATGTTGTCCACAGACAGAACGACAGACAGACAGACATAAGCGACCGAAAACATTACCTCGCCCTTGGCGGAGGTAACTAACAGAAGTCAGCAATTCAAAGAATTTCTAGTAAATATTATAAAAAAGAGCAGCACAACACTGCAGTGGTTAGACCTGTTGAATCTCAGCAACAAAGTTGCAGGTAGGTTGCATGTTCTCCAGGTGTGTGCATGGGTTTTCTTAGGGTACTCCAGTTTCTTTGCACAAACCAAAAACATGCATGTTAGATTCAATTGTAACTCACAATTGTCGCTAAGTGTGAGTGAGACTGAATATTTGTTTGTCTTAGTGTCTCCATGTGGCCCTGTGCATCCTGTTCAGGGTGTACCCCGCCCCTTTTACAGTAATTGAGATAGATACCAGCTCCCTACAACCCAGAAAGGAGAAGCAGGCAAAAAAGATATAAAGATTTAAAAAAATCAACCTTGGTTGAGTTTTTAATTTTGGCCTCTTATGAAAAGATGTATTATTCATTCATTCTGAATGCAATTGGTTGTACTCAGAGAAAAAGGGGCTGAATACTTTTGCACACAGCACTTTTCACTTTTTTGTAAAATACGTTTGAATCATGTACAGTTTTCTTTCCACTTCACAACTGTATACAACTGTGTGTTGGTCTTTCACATTAAATTCTAATGAATTATATTTATGTTTGTGGTTGTAATGTGACAAAATATAGAAAAGTTCAAGGGGTATGAATATATTTGCAAGCCACTGTCTAATCAATTCATCTCAAAAATTCTTGAGAAAATAGTTGCAAATCAACTACGTGAACATCTGGATAGAAATAATCTATATGAGGAGTTTCAGTCAGGGTTTAGAGCTCATCATAGCACAGAAACAGCACTGGTGAAAGTTACTAATAATATTCTCATTGTCTCAGACAGTGGACTTGNGTTTCAGTCAGGGTTTAGAGCTCATCATAGCACAGAAACAGCACTGGTGAAAGTTACTAATAATATTCTCATTGTCTCAGACAGTGGACTTGTGTCCATTCTTGTCCTGTTAGACAGTGGACTTGTGTCCATTCTTGTCCTGTTAGATCTCAGTGCTGCATTTGATACAACTGATCACAATATTTTATTATGTAGACTTGAACTTGATATTGGGATTACAGGAACATCTCTAAAATGGTTTGTCTTATTTAACTGATAGATTTCAGTTTGTTAATGTTAATAATGAATCTTCTTCTTACACCAGAGTTAGTCATGGAGTTCCTCAGGGTTCAGTGCTTGGACCAATCCTTTTCACTTTATATATGCTTCCATTCGGTAAAGTTGTTAAACAGCATGGGATAAATTTCCATTGTTATGCTGATGATACTCAATTATATTTATCCATGAAACCTGATGAATCTAACCAGTTACTTAAACTACAAGCATGTCTTACAGACATAAAAACATGGATGACTTAATTTTCTGCTTCTAAACTCAGATAAGACAGAGGTTATGGTTTTTGGACCTGAACATCTTAGGGATCAACTTTGTAGCCTTTCACCTCCTCTGGATGGCATTAATCTGGCCTCCTGTTCTAATGTAAAGAACCTTGGTGTTATTTTTGATCAGGACATGTCTTTTAACCCCCACATTAAAAATGTTACCAGGACTACTGTCTTCGTGGGTTTTTAATTTTGGCCTCTTATGAAAAGATGCCCCTGAGTTTAAAAGGTTGTCACAGCTCTAAAAAGATTAAAGATTATGTTGAAACTGTGTTCTAAGGTCTGAAGAGACTCATGAAAAAACTAAACTAGAGAAAGACCAATCAGTTCAGTTTTTGTCAAAAGTTAAATAGTTAAAATCTCATTCCGTCTTGTGAGTCTCTTTACACAGCCATAATCTAAAACCTAAAAACCAATCACAAGCTATATTTTGAGCTTTCCAAACAAAATGTCTCATTCACAGCAAAACTCCAAAGATAAACACTTGTTTGAGTGTGACTAATCAGATTAGGCTGCTACAGTTTGGTCAAAACTCTTCACAGCATGTAGAACATAGAATATTCTGTGCTGATCAACAGCAAACAGAGAGATAAGTTCAGTGAAACACTTTATCAGAAAGTATGAAGTGAGTATGTTATTGGCCAGTGACGAGGCAGATCATTGAACCCAGAGAGGAAATTGCAATGAAGAAGACAGAGCAGCGTTAATCTTCTGTAGATTGAATAACGAGAGGATGCATTACTGTTCACCTGAAGCTGTCCTTCTTTGGCTTGTTTGTTTTCTTTGCACAGACGAGAAAGGCACTGTCCAGGGTCTTGACCATTTTCTCATGCAGCTTGTTTGTGGGGTCCAGGTCATCCATGCAGGTCATTAGCTGGCTGAGCCGATGGCGAAGAGCCAGTTTGCTTCCTGTTGACTGCGTGGCATCGGATGAAAGGGTGTCACTGCGGACGCGCCCCACAGTGCCGAACAGCTGACTGATTTCATCCATTCTGATTCAAAATATTAGGAATAGTAAAGACAGCTGTCCCCTTAAATAATAGAGTACTGAAGCTATGAGTTTTTAAAGGAACAAAAATTGTGGTTTGAAAGGAACCTAAAGGAGAAGTGATCAGATCTGGTGGAGTAAAATCAAGCAGCTGAGCGGCTCAAGGATTGGACCGCTGCACAGCACAGCAGCATGATTAGGGAACTGGGTTGTTCGTCTACTACAAGCAGTCATTGTGCATTAAAAACTACTCCTAATCTCATTGCAAAATGTCATAACAAAGACCTTTTAAAAGTTGAGAAAACACTGCGTGTGTGGGAATGTAAAAAAAAACCTCATTGACCACATAACTGCTCTTTTTTCAGCTATTGTTTTTTGGCTGTAAATCCGCATTAGTTGTGAACTCTTGGCCAACCTAATCCACTTGCTATAACACAGCAGACTGGTAACTGCAGTGGGTTTGGTCTTGCAACATATTCATCCCTACAGAATGCAGAATATAAATCCAATTGAGCATTTGTAAGATGTGCAAAAAAAAGTAAAAAGAGATTTTCTTGAAACCCTTACAAAACATTAAATGGGCAATAATATGCGTTTCTAAGGCATATATTTAAATTATATACCATAATAAAGTAACTATGTCACCTTCAGTTGTTATTAAAATGTTGTTTATATGTTTAAATAGAAATTAAACTTGACTTCTCATCATATCTGTTTCTAAACACCTTGAAAGTGGCCTCTGTGCCGCCCATTTCAGCACGGGGCCAGGCGGTAGGGTCGCCAGATTGGAGTGACAGTTTCCAGCCCAAACACAACGTAAAATCCACCTAACCACAAAAAAACAGCCCAAATCTCAACCTCTGACTCTGTGTGCAGCATAAAAAAGTTTATATTACTGATATAGCCTACACGTGTATATTATACTAACAACAAATACACAGTTAGCACACATCTGCATTGAATCAGTATTTATGTTTTTTGTAGCTCTGAAAAGACAGAGAGAGTGAGAGACTCATCTTTAGAATGAAAACTTGTAAACAAACAGATGGAGGCTGTTAAAATGTTTGCTGCAAGCACATGCATAAGAAAAACCAACTAATAGCTCTCGTTTTGCAGAAGGAGGGGGTAGGTCCTCAGATTCTCAGAAACAGTCTCTTCTCTTTGGTGCATTTACAGTTGATGTTAACAACACGATTTTGTAGTGACCCTTGATATTTTGATATAGTTTCCTTATGAATACTTTCTAAAAACCCACCAAATGTGGTTAAAAGTAGCCCAAATTTTAACAACCTGCCTAAACAGGTTTTTTTCCCAGCCCAACGTGATCAAAAGAAGCCCAATTGGGTGGAAACCAGCCCAATGCAGTGGTGGATGCTGGTCTTCCAAGAAGGGGAAGCCCAGTTTTGGCCTACATCATAAAATGTGTCGGTTTATTAAAAAGTAAATTCTACCCTCCCTTCCTTTTCAAGAAAAACTGTGCTCGAAGTCAGAAAGACTGATAGTCAGTCTCCAAACACAAGCAGATACAAAAAACCCACCAGAAATAGAAGCTCAGTTTGTTGCTAGCTGTTTTTAACAAAGAAAATGCTGCTAAAAGGATTAGGAAAGTCTCCGGTTCAACTCAGAACAGAATGAAACTAAAAACTGCTCACACAGATGTTTACATCAAAAGATCGCTGATTCACTCATTTTGCTGTCAATCAAACAGAGATTCAGCCTCTGACAGCTCATCCAATCATCATGCAGAAGCTGAGCGTCCGGGCCAGCCGAGGCCAGCCCACTTCCCCAAAGAACCCCAGAGATGCTGAGCGTCTGATGGGCGGGACAAAGCCCAGCATTTATCCAATGGCTCGTCTCGTTTCGCTGCACTCTTTGCTTCTCTATTGAACTCTGTGGAAGCTCAGCGTCCTCACTGTTTAAAGCTCTGTGAAGCTGCGGGACTGAGTGAGAGGAAAGCTGCATTGTTACCAGTAGCTATAATTACATGCACAAAATTTTTTAATCGGATTGAAATGTATTCAGATTAAATAATCTGAATGTACTGTTTACATGGACACAATCCGATCATGTAAAGTGTTTACATGCACCGGAGTTTTATTCAGAATAAAAGTCTGGACATGCTCAGTGTTGTAAACTTTCAGCTCTACTTCCGTGTTACAAACGTAAACAAAGCTCCTCTGTGTGCTCAGGACGGACCCGTGTCAGCTTTTAATAACGGTAGAGAGGTTGTTACTCCTCGGTTGATCTGCAGATGAAGCAATACATGCTTTTTTTTCCCTTTTTTTTTTTTGCAAAGCAACGTCTGCTGTTTGTCTTCTTTTTCATCTGTTAAGAGAGTGAGGAGGAATCCGTGCACACGGATTTCCAGCGGCTGTTTTTGTTTCTCCCACTGACCCCCGGCGGGCTCCGTAGCTTCCCGTGCAGTTTAAGAGCAGTCGCCTCTGGTGCTCAGCTCAGCTTGGAGACACAGCCCAGAGGAGGAGATGATCCCAAAAGGTGGTTCTTGTCCCAACTGGTGGTTTTTGCTCTCCTGCCTGCTGCCTCAGGACACTACAGGATTCCTCAAACATGCATGAATGAGTCAAAGTAAGACTCTGAGCATGCTTTTGATGAGAGGATAACATTATAACATGACAAAACTCAAAAAAAGGTTGATTTTACATGATATTATTGCCACTTCAATGTTTGCCAGGCACAAGCAACCCATCCTATCAAACCTTGGTTTGTGGTGCTCTCAGGCACCAGTGATCTGCAACAAGTTGCACCCCTCCTTCATAAAAGGCATGGTGCCTTCACAGACACCCCTCCTTCATAAAAGGCATGGTGCCTTCACAGACACCCCTCCTTCATAAAGGCATGGTCCTTCACAGACACGTCTCCTTCATAAAGGCATGGTGCTTCACAGACACGTCTCCTTCATAAAGGCATGGTGCTTCACAGACACCCCTCCTTCACAGACACCCCTCCTTCACAGACACCCCTCCTTCATAAAGGCATGGTGCCTTCACAGACACCCCTCCTTCATAAAGGCATGGTGCTTCACAGACACCCCTCCTTCATGAAGGCATGGTGCTTCACAGACACCCCTCCTTCATGAAGGCATGGTGCTTCACAGACACCCCTCCTTCATTAAGGCATGGTGCTTCACAGACACCTCTCCTTCATTAAGGCATGGTGCTTCACAGACACCTCTCCTTCATTAAGGCATGGTGCTTTCACAGACACCTCTCCTTCATAAAGGCATGGTGCCTTCACAGACACCTCTCCTTCATTAAGGCATGGTGCCTTCACAGACACCTCTCCTTCATAAAGGCATGGTGCCTTCACAGACACAAACAGTTACAGAAGAAAATCCAACCTGACGCTTTCTCCCTCGCAGTGCTCCTCTTTCAGGTTTAGCTCTGAAACATTGTCTGGCTGCTCCTCGTTCTCCTCCATCTTTTCCGCACCTAAAACAGAAGATTGTTTAAAAGTCAAGCTAATTTTCTGTCTCCTAAAAGCTAACATGCAAACTTCAGACTGAGTTAGCTAAAAACGCTGCATTTCAAATTTCTCATCTACCTTCAAAAGTTTCTCTATATTTAAAGCATTACATCAGGTCATGTTAAAGACAGAGCAGATGTTATCACCGTGCACTGAGTGACGCTTGTCTTCAGGTAGAAGCATCAGCCTAATTAACTTCCCTTTTTAATAAACATTAGATACTCAAAGTAACATTAATGTGAGCGAATGTTATCATAAACTACCTGGTTAGCCTTAGTAAGACTTATTTTTGTGTCTGTTTTCAACTTGAAAGACGTACAGTACTCCACTTCAGTAGCATACAATCCTCTGTTGTTGTTGGCCCCGCCCCTTAACCGGATACTGATAAGCTGCTTTCAAAATAAAAGTGCGATCTCAAACTGACGTCAATCTTCAAATATAACTACTGCCA